CAAGATCTCACTGAACAATATAAGATAGAAGATCTGATATAATTGAATCTTAAGAATATATAAATCACATATTCATCTTATACACTAGATTATCATCACATCAGATATAAAGTGATAGAAGTTCTAGATAGTTATAACTACTGTCTTAACACATTATCAGAGATTTATAATGTATTTTATACAAGCTTGCTCTGCTATATTATCACTGATCTGTTCTCTTCTTAACTGACTTCTGACTGACAGTCATCAGGCATCATAGAAGAAGATAATAAGCTAGAGTGAGAGATTGAGAATATTCTTGATAAGAGACTCTGTGACTGCAGCTGACAATATCTTATGAAATAAGTTAGCTATAATTAACTGATCTGAACTCTGAGTTTCATATTATTCAAAATAGCAGCTCTTGACTAATAAAAACTGCTTCTGAAAGAGAGAAGTTAATGTAGCAGGCTGCACCTGATCAATTATATAGACTATTTCATTACACTTCATAGATTCTTCCACTTCACTCTTGAATACATACACTCTGATTCTCAGTCATTCTTGATCACTGATTCTCAGCTGTCACAAATGCATATGTTCTGATTCTTGATCATTCTTAATCACTGATTCTCAGCTGTCACAAACATGTATAGATTCTTCTGCTCCGAAGCTTTACTGCGTACATTATCACATACATGTATAAATATTCATCTCAATTACTAATTCTCACACTTTCTCTTTCTTTTCTTCTCTAACATTTTTCTCTTTGTTATATAAGATCTATCAATATTATACCGATCTATTCAGCGTAGATCTCTTACAGTATCTATTATATCAGATGATATATTTTACTCTTGTTATGAAAGAGCATCTGTCATTAAGTTCTGACTGTTAGAATGATAGTGCATTATAAAATGAAAGCAGCTTAAAAACTCAGATTATTATATCTATTATTCAGTGAGTTTACAGATAGTTGTAAAGTACTTGAGATTCTTATAATCTGTAATTATCTCAAATTCAGAGACACTTCAGAGTTTGAAGTCTTATTCTTCTAGACAGTGTATAATCATAAGAAGTTTCTTATCATAGATCTCATAGTTGCTTTCAGTGAGACTCAGTTTCTTAGATATAAAGACATATAATTGTAAGATATCTTTATCATCATATTGTAATATAGCTTCTTCTGTGATATAATCAGAGAAATCAGCTTCAATAACTGTTTCACAATCAGAATCAAATATTATAAGTACAGAGATATTAATAAATATCTTCTTCATCTATATAAATACAGCTTCAGTGTCTGCTAATCATTGAAATACTAAGTTCTTCTTAGTAAGTTCTGTAAGTGATCTGACAATATCTGAGAATTTTATATAAATTATCAGTAGAAATTAGTGAATCTGATGAAGTTTTGTACATCTTTCACAGTGTGCAAAGTCTCTTATTCAAGAATAGCAGAGACTTTCTCAGAATTCATTCAGATTTTCTTATCAGCTTCTATAATAAAGTCTAGATATTTTATACTTTTAATCTTAAAATCATACTTATCTATATCTATTAACAGTTCTGCTTTCTGTAGCTGTTGTAATATCTTTCACACATATTCTTGATATTCTTTTCTAAATTTATCAGTGAAGATGAGAATGTTATCAAGATATACAGATATAAATTCATTAAGAAAATCTCAGAGTGCTCAGTTGATATACTTCTGAAATATACTGAGAGTGTTAGCTAGTTCAAAGAATGTGACTACTTATTCAAAGAGATCATATTATATTCAGAATACTGTAAATCACTTATCTTCTTCAGTGATATAGATCTTATGAAACATGGTAATGACATCTAACTTTATAAATCATTGAGCTTGTTCAATACAAGCTAGAGTTTCATTGATAAGAGATAAAGAATAACAGTTCTTCTTCATTAATCTATTCAATTCTTAATAATTCACACAGAATCAGAGTTCTTTACCTGATTTCTTTGCAAAGAGAATAGAGACTGTGATGAAAGAGTTATTAATATGTATAAATTCTTTATCTAACAGATCATTGAGTGTCTTTTGAAGAAGAAGAAGATTATCTCAGAACATGTTATAAAGAGAGTTTTATAATAATTCAGAGTTCTTACTGTTCTTCTTTTTCAACTTAATACTGTGATTCACTTCTGAACCTTGTAAGAGAGATAGGTTTATAGCATTATTATCTTATCAGAAGATATCTAGATATTCATAATATTATTAAGAGAGTTTTATATAAGAATCTGTTATTGTAATATAAGATAACTTTTCTAGAGTCTTTTTAATATTGATCAGACTGATGAAATAGATTGATACATAATTCTACTATCAGTGATTCTTTCAGCAACTTCTTTTTCTAAGTATTTTATAAATGTTGACAGAGATCTGTGTCAGGTTCATAGTCTTATAAATGTTATTCTTGTGAACTCTATTATTATTAGAGAATATTAAACTCCTGTTTCAAGTATTTAATAAGATGTCTTGTTCAGATAGTCAGACAAGTTCTAATATAAGATTATAATTAAAATTATCAACTTCATATATATAGACATCTTCACACTGATATTCTCTGATATCTATGTTTAGTTTCACTATATAATGAGTGCAAACATCTTTTGAATCATTGAATTCTGTAAGAAGTCAGAGTTTTGATAAGAGAATATACTGAAGATTATAATAACTTATGACTGAATATTTAATCATTGCATAGTGACATAGACTGCTGTCTATTATAGCTTTCATATTATACATGTTATTAATCACAGTAGATATAAGAATTGCATTTATTATTATTTTCTCTTCAAATTGTTATTATCTGATCTCTTCAAGCTTCTGTTTATAAATTTGAACAGAAGCTAATCTTTTCTCTGTTTCACTGAGACATTCTTATAGTTATCTTCTGAATCTTTCTTCACTGTAATGTGATTGATATGAACAGACACTGATTCATTCTTTGAGTAAGAAGATATATAGACTGATTGACAGTTAAAAGCAATATATTCTGATTAGTTACAGTTGATATATACTTTATATTAATGTTGATCGGTGACTTCTTTGAGAGTGATCTTAGAAACTTGAAAGTCTGTTTAAACAGTGAAAACTCTTGCTTATGTATAGACATTTGAATTTATTCAATTCATGACATCTGCATCATTGCTGTTCTTCAGCACGGGTGTATAAGTGACTGAAATGTAACATCTTCTATCACTGTTCTGTATACTCTTGAGCTTGATAAGACAGTTATTCAATGTTCAGAGCTATGTGTAGAAGTCTTTATAAGTCTAATCTTCATCTACAGTTATAAGAGTCTGTAAGAGTTTAAAAGTTAATATCTTCTTAAGCATGCTACTCTTTAATTAATTCTCTTAAGATTAATCACCTGCTTCTAGAATCTTGATATCAAAGTCAGAGATAAATGTTATAAGAGAAGTGTTTCTCTGTCAGATACTCTGTAATCAATCTAATATCTTCTATTACATAACAGTGTCTCAGAATAGAATATCAAGATATTTCATAATATTATCAGATATTTATAATACTGATTCACATGCTTCTATTTATAAATGAAACTTCTGTTTCATGCAATTCTTCAATCATTCATTAATATACTAATCTTAATTAATTAATGAACTGATGATATCTTCATCTACACTTAGTTTCATGAGTATTTTCATTCTTCATGATGAGTAGAGAGTGAGATTGAAAGTATTGAAATATATAAGAGCATTTAAGCATTCTTTCAGCACTTTTATATTTAATTCTGTAAGTGTTGAAATTGCATGAGTTTCTTGTTATAATAATCATTGAATCTCTTCATATTGATGTTGTTAAGTTGTATATATATCAGCTATTTATTATAATTATAGTTTTAATATTACTCAGAGTCACTGTGATACTGTGTCTATACTTATATTTGAAAGTTCTCTCATATTATTGTTAGACATGATTATATTGTTTATTAAATATGTGATATCTGTGAAATCTGAAGAAGTGTAATTATATGAATATCTTATACATCTGAGTATCAGAACTCTCAGGTTTTTTACTGATATTCTCTTGTAAAATCTTACTCTCTTTGTAAGATCTTGTTACAGAGTCGGAATAACTGATAAGTAAGCTTCTATCTGAGAACTCAGTATTTATTTAACTGTTTGACTGTTTCTCTATTTCTTATATGTTGTTATATGTTTAGATATCTCAGTGAGTAATCATCTCTAATAAGAAGATAATATGTGAATAATCATTTCTAATAAGAAGATAATGATTATTTTTCTAGTATAAGAAGTCTATACTGAATAGATCAGTATAATATTAATAGGTCTTATATAATAAAGAGAAAAGCATTAGAGAAGAAAAAGAAAGAGAAGATGCAAGAATCAGTAATTAAAGTGAATATTTATACATATATATAATGATGTACATAATGAGGCTTCAGAGTGAAAGAATCTATATGTATTTATAACAGCTGAGAATCAGTGATTGAGAATGACTGAGAATCAGAGTATACATATTCAAGAATGAAGTAGTTCAAATCTGTGAAGTGTAATAGAATAGTCTATATAATTGATCAGACGCAGTCTGTCACAGAAATCATCTACTATAAAAGTAACTACTTAATATATACTTATTCTGTTACAGAATGCTATCAGATTATTGAATATTATTAATATTATATTATCTAAACTTATTCTAAATATAATACTTATATGTTACACTTTTATACATGTTACTTATAAGCTTAAAGTGCTATTATCTGATTTATAATCTGCTTTACTATTTATAGATGACTTCATGATCTCTTCTATAACTTTTATATATTATATAGTATCTATTTTCTCTGATTCTTCATTAATAGATATCTGAGTATAAGAATGTAAATGTAAAGTTCTTCTTCTATTACTCTGTAGTGTAGACATATCACTTATCAGTTAAAGAAGAGTTAAATAAAGAAATTGAAAAAAAAACATATTATTTTATACTGTAGAGTTCTGTTATTTCAATTACTAACTAAGTAGATACACTTAAAACATGCAATGTAAATGTGATAAAGAATTCTTCTATTCAAAGTAAACATATTCAATACTTACACAGGTGTTTTTAAACAAAAGTGAGAAAAAAAATAAAAATAGTGTAATTCTTTATAAAAGCATGCTATCCGGGCTATAACCTGTGGGATGGTTAATCCATTGTATTCGTGTAGGAAGAGCCAGCTATATATATATTACATATGAGATCACGTGTAGGCGGAGCGGTCGCTACGGCAACGCCACTAGGGCGGATGCTACAAAATGGTTTTGGGCAGGCCACTTGACGGGTGACCATGTACATATCCTGGAACCAGCGTGCGCAAAACTGCGATAAGCCGCCATCGAATATCTAGACATGGTTAAAAGTGACCACTCCTTCAACAGGGAAAATGCATGTAGCTTGACCCATATGCTCATCCACTTTTCATTTGCTATTGTTGCCCCTAATTATCCTTATCATGGCACACGAAGTATTGAAGCTTTTAAATTTTCATCACAATGCAAATGCAATTGTTTTCTTTGAAAAAGATTGTTTAACACTGTAAATGCTTATTCAGATGGTGTTGAAGCAATGCATTGCCTGATTGATATATACAAGCCATTTTTCTCTCGCTGCTCTCCACCGCCTATCTACTTTGGATTTATCCCATGTAAAATAACTGCACTTCCCCTGTATATCTTGGGATTTGTATTCCTTGAACTCCTGGTTCTGAGCCTTGACTTCACAACGCGGATCCTTAACAGATCTTAGCGATGCGGGATATTCCGAATACCAATAAGGTTAGGCAAATTATCATGGTCAGGTTAGCTGTCTGCATCGCTATTTTCGCCTTTTCCTTGGCACTCCTTGTTTAGATTTCTTTTCGTTCGGCCGCAAATTTCCTAAGTCATCATTCCGCGAAGTAGGAAGAGGCTCACACTCCTCTTCTAATTGAGATGTAAAGCTCGAGCCCAGGCCAACAGCTCCAATTTCCTGAGAAAGCCCAGTAGTCGCTTCCGAGAGGCTCTGTTCAGACTGCTGTAGTTCCTCAGGCTTAAATTCTGGTAACTCGTCAATTGCCGCGCATAGTTTCTTAAAATGTGAAGGTGCCCAGTCACCGTAGACACTAACAATAAACCTGTAGCATGTCCACTTCTCCTTGCCGTCCAGAGCGGTGAAATCGAACTTGTGAATGGTATGACGATAGTAGGTGGTCTCCTCCCCATCAATCACGGGATAGTGACCATATATCCTCACAGAACAGTGGTCATGCGACACAGAAAATCCTTGCACCTCCTGATGTAGCTCCTTCTCACGTTTTACCAATCTAAAGAGCTTGACAATGCCCCTTACTGAAAGAGTCATACTGTGAGCATTTTGTCGATCTGCCGTGTCGAGTGCCGCCTTTCCACACTTCACTTCAGAAGTCAAAAACGGAAAATACATGTAGGCCGTACCCAGGAAGAAAGAAGTATCGCCGATTTCACCGACAAACGGTGCAAGCTTTTTGAGATGGCCTTCAGTGAAGGATTGCCGTGCAAAACCCACAGCATGGTCGGGCTGTGGCCGAGGTAGTCGGAATCGTTGAAGTTGACCGGATTGTGGAAGTCGCTGGACATCATCAAGCGGAATCGAACTATCCCAACCTTCATTAAAACTTTCGATGAACCGTGGGAATTTGACATTATGAGAATAAATTGTGTCTTCGGCAAAAGGAACAATCAATTCTGTAATGAGAATGGAGACGCCAGTTTCGTTCTTTCTTTGTACCCTCCGACACGTTGATTCGAATACATCATCGTCGAACCTGGTACCTCTAGGAACTTTGGGAGTATTCTCCAGCAGTTGCCGACAGAGTGTCCTGCTCTCGTAACTGATGCCATCCTCATGCTCATACAGGAAGCTTCTTTTGGTTTCCAGAAATAATTCGCAATTCTTATCACAGTAAGGGCTACTTTTCGCTCCTCGTGAACTAGATTCGCTCGCTACGCTCAAACTCGCACTGGATTTTGTTCGACGAAGGGACAAGGTTTTCGGTCGTGCAAGGAAGGATTCCATTGAGTCGCATTCCAATGACTGCTTGGGCCACCGATAGTTATGCAGTAGCCAATATTTGACGCAGCTGTCAGTTCGAAGTCGCTTGTTCGATAGGTGCGTCAGAGGGTAATTGGTTTCGTTTCGTCTCCCGTCTCCTGCTTTCTCATCTGGAGGTGAATGACCGACCCGCCGCCGCTTTCGAAACCGCTCGAGTGGGCGCTGAAGTGGCTCAACCTGCTTACGCTTCCGGTCATGTTCATGCAAGAGCTATTCTGCAAAGTTAGCTTCTTCTTGAGAAACCTGGCATGCTATGGCTGTCGTACAGTACCTCCGGGCCGATTCGTGGTCGGCGGGGATAAGACTCTTTGCTCGATGTCACACTCATCGGCTTGGTGTGTATTGCAAAGGCGTGTGATCCTTCGGCTAAGAGGATGTGGCCGTCCGTACCGATGTTTACCTGTCGATTAATTATCAGTGAGAAGTAGGCCGGCGCGAATCACGACTCTCACCGTGGGGCTCTTTCTTTCCTCAGCACACGTGTTGCCTTTTGGCCCACGAAGCCATTTATATCGGTGGTGTATTAATAAAACAGACTACGAAGCCTGCAAGAAGAGTGAGTCGATAGCACTGCGACAAAGATTGGAACAGTCCACTGGCAACGACAGCAGCGGACAATGTGGCGGAGGAGAATCCATTCCAGCCAAAGATGATGATCATGTGATTTTGGTGACCAGCCAATGAGAGGCAAGCAACGGGAAGAACAGGGGCTTGATTGCTGCTCAATATGTGTGGAGCTAATCCAAACTAATTTGGTTGCCTGCGCGAATCACATGGTTACTGTTTTACTGGACCAAAAGGTAAGGCGGAATTTTTGGGGCCCAACAATATTGTAGACTAGGATTTCCATATGGACTATCTTTAACCCGATCCCGCGGATGAAGATAATTGTTGGGGGTCCCGCGGTTGGTCGGCCCTCTCTACCAGCAGGCGCTGGTGGTGATCGAGCTCTTTTGCCCCAGTAGCCTACACATAACAACATTATCCTCCAAGACATATATATGTCACGTGATGGTATTCAACTCTCAGGCAGCTATGCAGCGCACTAGAATTTCTGCTCTTTTCCTTGGGATTTCAGCCATTCTTGCTGGAAACGTCCAGCTGAAGGCCTGATTATTTCTGCAAGAAGACAGCTATAGGCGTACACACTCACGAGAAGTTTCTATGGATATGATGATTCACCTAAGTTGCTGTGCAACTCAGTTAGCTCAGCTTGAGATATTTCTAGACACATGAAGTTACTCAATTTGAGTGAGAGTTCTTCAAGTCTCCACACTTCATAAATGTATTCTCTTGTATTACTTTTGACGAGCATAAAAAGGGGCCAAGTTATCAGCTACCTGTATTGATGAAAGAGTTCATATCACAAATCACTTGTAAGATTATGTACAGTGCACCAGAACTTAGCATTGCTTCTCTCTAAGCCAGCAGTCTCTCTAAACCAGCAGTCTCCCTAAGCCAGCAGTCTTTCTAAGCCAGCAGTCTCTCTAAACCAGTAGTCTCTCTAAGCCAGCAGTCTCTCTAAACCAGCAGTCTCTCTAAGCCAGCAGTCTCCCTAAACCAGCAGTCTCCCTAAACCAGCAGTCTTTCTAAGCCAGCAGTCTCCCTAAACCAGTAGTCTCCCTAAGCCAGCAGTCTCTCTAAACCAGCAGTCTCTCTAAGCCAGCAGTCTTCCTAAGCCAGCAGTCTCCCTAAGCCAGCAGTCTCCCTAAGCCAGCAGTCTCCCTAAGCCAGCAGTCTCCCTAAGCCAGTAGTCTCCCTAAGCCAGTAGTATTCCTAAGCCAGTAGTCTCCGATATTTTCACTTTCCCCCCTCATTCACAATCGTCTACTGGCATCAGTGACCCTTCATGCACGGCAAACCCCGTCATATATTGATGGAGTATCGTGCATGAAGGTCCCGGGCCCCTTGCCTGACGCGACGTGTAGACTGTCAGACGTAATGCCACCTCCACAAAGTGGCTCTTCAAACCAGGCGGCCACTTGTCGCCACGCTCGACTCGGCCCACATTCAGAGCTGGCAAGCAGGCCAAGCCGTATAGGAGTCCCAAACTATAAAAGACATATATGAAATTTCCCTCCCAAGAATAGAATCTGACGTGACCGGGCCATGATGCCATTCTAAAGAATAAGGGAAATCTGGTATGAATAGATTAAAGAATCGGGGATATTTTCCCTAGTGATGACATCTGGCATGACCAGACCATGCATACTCTGAAGAATAGGGGATATATCTGGCATAACCAGCCCACGGATGCTCTGAAGAATAGGGGATTTTTTTTCCCTGGGGATGACATTGGGCATGACCAGCCCACGGATGCTCTGAAGAATAGGGGATTTTTTTCCCCTGGGGATGACATTGGGCATGACCAGCCTGTGGATGCTCTGAAGAATAGGTGATATATCGAGCATGACCAGGCCATGAATATTCTAATATGCCTTCCGGTCTAAGCTAGTTCATTTCCTAGGTAGCGCCGGGTCACGTGGGCTAATAGGGTCTGTTCTCCACGGATAAACCTCAACCACCAGAATGGGTAAGTAGCACCAACACCTTGCAACTTAGTCACTAAGGACCGTCCTAGAGCATCGTTTCGTCGCGGCCCCTCAACTACCACCCGAGAGACTTCCGAATACACAGCACCGGGCACTATGCAAAACGATCGAGTGTCTGTACGCGCGAGTGGTTGTGCTGGAGGATATCATTAGCAGCGTCGGGGCAGAACATCACTTGAAGACGGCGTTTGGCGGTCGCATTTGTACCTTAAAGGAAATAAAAGCGTCGTATTGCCAAGATCAGACGTATCCGCGGCTATCGAAGTGCATTGCGCCACACTGCAGTAAAGCGTATCAATCTGCGGAGAACCTCCCAAGACACATTCGAGGCACATGGGATCGTAGCCACCAGTTCCACCGTGCGATACTTACCGGGACCTTCTGTTTTCAGTGTGGGATGGAATTTTCGGCAGGCACGTCCTCTCTCTCAAGGCACGAGAGGGACCGCCATGGGGAACCAAGCACATCTAGGATTGAAACCTTCGGGCCGTTCCGCACCGCATGTGGGTTGTTCCGCTTGTCTGAATAGCTTATATACTAATGGAAACAGTCTCTCGTGGCGGAGGTCTCCCTTATATGCAATGCAGCCGAACGATAATCACGTCGCCGGCCGAAGCGTACGAAAAGCGAGTGAGGCGGGTAGTGAGCGAGATTCTAGCATTGGGCGCTTGGTGCAAGTATCAACCGACACTTCTACAGCTGAGAGGTGCGATGACGGTTCCGTTCTCCGGGAAGAAGTCATGAAGATATTCAAACAGTTTAGCACGAGAATTGAACAGGTTGAAAAGGACAATGACCACCTGCATGAAATCGTGGGCGGAAAGAAGAGGAAGCGCGGTGACGACAAAACATGCACGGCCCCAGCGAAACCTGGATCCATCAATGGCCACACCTCGGCGTTCGCCCGTGACCGAAGTAACTGCGCTTCAACCATGGCTTACTCGGCTCAAGTATCGTCATCCGACTCCGCAGCGTCCGTGGATGATTTTTGCAACCCAGGTTTCAACCCCTCCCCAGTACCGCCAGCTCAACTACAGCCATTCTCCAGCCATTCTATCTATGAGATCAACTTCGGTCCCGATCCCTTCCCACTACCGCTCACCAACGTTAACGGATCGATATACCCAGCTCAGCTACAACCATTCTCCCGTTCTATCTATGAGATTGGCCCCGGACCCAATCCTTCCCAGGTCCCCCCTACCGGTACCGATGGATCTATCTACCCAGCCCTATTGTTTCCATTCCCCTCCGAGTCCATCTACGGATGCCCCTCACCTAACTTCTAGCAAACCGGGCAATCCTCCATCTCCTCCGCCTGGTTGGCGCGCGACATTGAAGAGTCGCGTCCGTTTTGACACAGTAATACCAGCAAACTTTCTATGAAGAATAGTATTTGCAGTTTTATGAAAATCCCATTGCCATAATGCTAGACCTGTCTATTTCAGATGCACGTTATTTCCTTCCAGGTTCCCCAATGAGTGCCCCATACTATCCTAACAATCCCATGTAGACCACCGATACACATACCCATGGTGCTCACCAAGGGTGGTCCGACCGATAATAATTTACCACGTATAGGTCCGTTTTGGCCTCCGGCTCGGGAAGCTGTCGTAATAGCCAACCACTGCATATGATCCTGTAAGACGTTAATAGCAGGCTTGTTGTTCGAGGCTTGGGTTCCACGTACACGTCTCCACCGGTGGCTGCAATGGCCGTTGGTAGATCACCCTTGCTGCCTCCTATATCGTATTGCCACCTCCACTGCGACTTATTATCTTTGCCGAAGAGATGATAGCAAGTCAAGCCAAGAACCTCATCTTTCTTATCTGCTAGGGTCTCCCCCCGAGGGAAGCGCTCAAATGGGGAGTTTTTCAGTCGGGAAGCGGGCATCAGGATAGCGAGGTTTTGTTTGAAGGGCTGCGGGCTCACTCCAGCGAGGAGGTGGTTGACGTGCTAGGTTCCTTCAGCCAAGTTAAAGAGAGGCTGAGAGCGGAGATTCTCACCTGATTGCTCGCCACCCGCTCAATGGAGTTTGTATCTGTGGCATCCTTCAGCACGATCCATCCATCGTTGATGAGTGCCTGTAAGACTCTGTCGAAGTCCCGATAGAGGTCTAGTATGTCACCAGATCTGATCAAAACGTTGGTGTCCATGTTCACCCTGACCTGCTTGCAAACATCGCGGCGCGGGGCTTCACTGAGGGGTGACGATGCCGGATGCTGATTGAATGACACGTGACATAACTTAGTCTTGGCATCGTTGGGTTCGGACACGACCGTTGATATCCTGGCCCATTATTAGCCCTGAATGAGTTGTCGATACAACCAGGGGTGTGCGGAGGGAAAACCAACCCTTACCTTCCGAACCCTGGAACGGCTTGTTCTTCTTACCAGCATAGAAACCATCTTGCGGACTCGATTTGTGGTTTGGAAGACACAGAAGTCGATTGGGGATTAAGAAGACGAACAGAGCGAGCGTTGTTAGTTCTAGAAAATCGGGGGCATCGGTGGGTTGTCTGCTTTTTAAGTGTGCGAATATCGGTCGCTAACTTCATGCCCGATTGGCAAATTCATTTGGCAAACAAAGTCGAGCCTTGCATGAGGCAGCCGGTTGCCTGGATTCCTCCTCAACACACCGCCCTCCTTGCAGGATGCAGATGTCTACGCTAATTGGCGATCGAGTGGCCTTGGCAGCGGGACATTAAACATAGCTGTTACAGCGCCGTCGATGACAGCAGTATGCTTCCCTCCCCACAGGAAAGGATGAATAACTACGTGATTAGGATATAAGCTATCTAAAAGCAGATACAGAACTCGAACATGCTCCCGATTCTCTTCACAATTCCCGACCTTGCCGTGTATGATCCGAACCAGAGCAAGTCATCAGCGTTTGAAGTTACTCTCTGCAAGCAAGCCGACGGAGACTTTCAACGGACAACTGATACTCCCTGTAAATGGGATATATAAAAGGCAACGCAGGCTTTCCCGTCTCCCTCATGTCCCTCAAATGGTCGCGACACGCGCGAAAGTTACCCTCATATTCGACAATTCTGCGCAGCTCCCGTGGGATCATTGTTGCATCGTAGTCAGCAACCCTCAGACCTATCACAATTGCAGTCACTCCATGAAAGTTTCGTTGCTTGTACAGACACTTTTGATACGATGTTAGCAGTACTCCGAAGCGAAGAGCTGCAATGACCAGCTTACCATGGCAAGTTCGACCAAGGGACCACCGTATCTCAGGTCAATTTGAAGACTGCAGAGAGTTCACTGAATAAAGAATCTCTGATATATAAGATTATCTAATCACTGATATTTGATATCATCTATAAGAGTAAGAGTTTTCTTACACTTCGGAGAATGATCTTGCTATATTTAGATATAAGAGCTACAGAACATGAAATATAATCTTATTCTCAGACTTAATTAATTTTAAAGATTCAATCTGCAGATTCAATGATGTATATATTATATACAGTTAACTGATAAGAAGAAAACAGTTCATATGATTCTATTAATTGATATGAGAAGAACATTTCATATCTCTAATATAGAAGAATTAAATCTACTTACACATTAATAAGCAAAGAGAATAATTTGTAAGACCTTATTTAAAAGTATTCTATATATTATACAGAATCTAAAAGCAGAGAAAATCAAAATAAAGAATATATAGAAGAATAAGTATATAAAGAAGCTTCTGAAGAAGTATAAGAAGATCTTTCAAACAGATTTTTCACTGAAATTACTGTCAGAACAAGAATTTGTATATGAGATTAACACAGAGAATATGAAATCAGTTAATTAGAATGTATACTCTCTATCACAAATGCATTTTAAAGAATAGAAGTGTCAGATCACAGACCTTCTAGAATATAATCTTATATAACTCTTATTAAGTATGTGAGACTTTTCAGTTCTATTTGTAAAAAAGATAGATGAGAAGTGATAAATATATATCAATTATTAAGCACTTAATAAGCTTATAATCAAGAATAAATATTCACTGTCACAGATTTAACAACAGTTAAATACAGTTGAAAATATCTGATATTTATTAAAGATTGATCTTCTCTCAGAATACTGATAGATTTATATAGATAAACTGTCAGTTCTGTGAACTGTATTTAATATATAATGAGAAAAGTTTGAATTTCTGATAATATTATTCAGTCTGATAAATGTGTCTGTTATCTTTTAAACAATGATGAATATAATTCTTTATAAATAGAATGAAATCTTATATCTTATATATCTCAATAATATTCTAGTCTTCTTAAACTTATATAATGAATATCTGAAGTATCTTAATGAAGTGCTTATAACTCTGACAGAGTATAAGCTCTATATTAAATTAATAAAGTGTGTGTTTAAAATAAAAGAGTTGAAGTTTATAGAATATATAGTAAGTGATAACTGTATATATCTTATTCTGAAGAAATTGAATGTTATAGCAAATTAGTCACAGCTGAGAAATGTACATTATATATAATAATTTCTTGAATTAATCTTATATTATCACAGATTTATTAAGAATTTCACATAAATATCTGCATCACTCTCAGATCTCTTAAGAGAAATAAATACAAATTTGTGAAAGAAGAAGTTTTATTCAATTATCTGAAATACTGTGTATGAGAAGACTTTTCTCACACTGAGAAAATATATAATAATATTCTCAGTGCTTATTTAACTAGATTGTAATAAATCTTTCTATATTAAGATAGACATATCTGAATGAGCTATCAGAGATGCTCTTCTACAGATGAGTAAGAATAGCAAGCTACATCTGATAATATATAATGATAGAAAACTATCAGATACTGAGCTCAATTATTTAGTATATGAAAAGAAATTGCTAGTGATTAAGCATGTACTGATATTATAAGATAGATATATTGATAACAAATATATAATAACAGTGATTATGAATTATAAAAGTCTTGTCTATCTACAATCAATAATAAAACCTTTCAAATACTTAGTATATTAAATCTCAGAGTTTCAAGTGTACAATCTTTATATTAAATACTGAAAGGAATTGAATACTGTAATATCTAATACAATCAGTTACAGATCTGATTTCATAAGTAAGAATTCTGTAAATCAGATATAAGAGAAGTTCATATTAAATACACTGAGAGAATGCAAGAAATCAGAATGAGCAGATGCAATGATCTCTTACTTAAAGAATGACAAGATATTAGATAATAAGCATCTCATAAAAGTAGTAGAAGAGATGCTTTCAAACTTCAAGCTGAGAAAATTGAAAAATGATGTTGTGCTTTACTATAATCTAGAATATGTAAAAGCTCTCTATCTAGAATATTCATTTAGACATGACTTGATAACTCACATGTACAAGAAATTCAGTCACTTAGAAAGCTCTGAACTTATAAGTGTACTTGAATTAAGAGCATACTGATCAAGCATGATTGAGAATATTCAGATATACACTTACAAGTGTCTGAATTGTCAGATTGTGAAAGAATCTAAGAAAGGATTAGAACATAAGAAAGTATAATATCAGATCAAGTGTAAAATATAACTGTTCAAATAATAAGAGATAAATCTCATAGATATATTACTGTGAACATTAAATGAAAATCAATGAATAATTACTGCTATTAATTATACTACTGACTGATCAGTTATAATTCATGAAAGCAGTTTCAGAGATAATAGAGAAGATAATAATAAAGTTTCTATATAATGAGATCTATATCAACTATGAAGTGTCACATGAGATTCTAACTGATAACAGTGTAAATCTCATAGAAGAAGTGATAAGGCATTTCATAGATCAGTTACAGATAAGATATTGTAGAACAACATTATATCATACACAGATGAATAGAAAGATAAAATACTTAAATGAAATCTTAAGTAACATGCTGATGAAATATCTAGTGAGTAAGTCTATAAGATTATAAGATGAATATCTTGATCAGATACTATTAGTCACACAAATTCAGCAGTATACAGTCTTCAAGTATTCATTATTCTACCTGTTGTATGAATTGCATTCACACATTTCAGAAAATACTTCAGAAAAGATGAGAGAGAGAACAGCAGTTACAGACACAGTAGTAGCAGTTGTAGATACAACAGTTACAGATACAGAATCAAGATTGAAAGAGATTAGCTATATATATATAAAAGCTAATGAGTTACTTCTGAACTGAGCAATTCAATTAAAAAGAATACAAGATTCACTAGTTAAGAAATCAAGTCTTAAGATGAAAACATGAGTTCTTATACACAATGAGAGTTCTGAGAAGTTTCAATCTAGATGATTTGAACTCTATAAAATACTTAAATCACATTCTCTGAGAACTTACACATTGAAGAAATCAGAGAGACAGATCTTATATAACTTGATAAATAATTCACATCTTATAAAGATAAAGATGTAAGATCTGAGTAGATTATAATCATCTACAGCACTATTATCAGTATTAAAAAAGAAGAAGCTTATAATTGAAAAGTCTCACAAAGTAAGAGAAATTATAGATACTTATGAATCAGATGATCTCACTTATTTCAATCTTTTCATAATTATAAGAAAAGAATGAGAAGAAATGAAGAAATCAAATAAATATCACACTTCAATAAGTGATAAAACTGTAGTCAGTCATATAATAACATGCTGTAGACAGTAGATGCAACATAGTAAAAAGCAGTCTCAAAGTAGCAGACTTATATATAAGTCAGATTGCAGAAGAAAAAGAAATTCAGAGTTGAATTTAACTGATTATATCAGTTCAATTATAGAGATAACAGAGAATGAAGCATCTGAAACATTTATAAATATATAAGATTAAGTCATCTTAATCTCTGAGAATGCTCAGAGATCATATGAGATTAGTTTTAATAAGTTATTTACTGTAGTGATCTAAGTGAGTGAAGAGAGACAGTATAATATATGAGATAGAATTATAAAAGATGAAAGCTGCTGAACCTAGTCACTGAACACTGTATTATATAGAGATTGTGTAAGAGTAGTAATGAGCAGACAAAGAAAAAGTATAAGAAAAGAGAAATGAATTAATTATCAACTATAAGAGTCAGTTATAAAAGATAAATATTATCATACACATCTCATTCATTTTCATACACTATATATTTAATCTATTTTCAACATCACATTATCTGAAAAACATTAAAAATAAAGAAAATATCAAAACTTAAAATTCATAAGAGATTTAAGAGCTGTAAGCTGCTCTTACAACAACACTGTACATGTCTTCAATTTCTCTATCACTCTGTGTACAACATTAATATCATTTATCATAAGATTGACTGAAATGTCAATATAGAAATGTGTACACATGTGACATATATATAAAAAAATTGAAGAAGAGCACAGAACTCACAGAATCAGAAGTCAGAGTAGAGAGAACAGAGATAGAAGAAACAGGAGAAGAAGAAGATACAGAACTGAATAAATAACAGCAGAAGTCATTCAGAGCTGAATACTTATAATTTAATATATACATAATCTTTCTCACAGAGAAGAGAGAGAAAGCACTGAGAGAAGCTTAGAGATAGAAGAGAGTAGTCTCAGCAGTGTTATTATCTTTGATTAGAATAGTCTCTGATACTGAAGCAAGTAAGAACTATTATTAGTGTATAAAACTGTAAAAAGTAGAGATAACAATTACTGAATGAATATCTACTAGTCTTAGAATTATACATGCAATTATAACACACATAAGACTTCTCAGAAAGAGAGAGAGAGACACATAGAAATACAGAAAGCAGAATACAGTGTATGAACAGCTCATTCTTATAATAATATCTCAGATAAGATGTACAAGTCTCACACTCATAAGTGTAAAAAAGTATGATATTCATATTCTCATTTCTGAAAATATGAATATCTTTCATCTGCATTACAAAGTCAGACAACAGATATCAGAGAATAGACTGATACAGATCTATCATTTCAAAGAAATTTATCAGAGTGAATGTATCTGTAATATTGAATTTAATAATTATGAAAAGTTTCTTAGTATCTGTGAATATCATGATCTTGTACATAGTAAAACTCATAATAATTTTCTCTAAGAACAGAAAAATCAGTGTCAGAAAGAAAAGATGAAAAAGAAAAAGACTTATAATCTTAATACTGTTAAGAAGAGAGATGATTCTCTGATATAAATAAATAATTATCTTATCATGAATATTTAAAATGAATATAATAATCA